GTGAGCCTGCGGTACAGCAGCAGACTCGTCTGGACCTCATCGTGGTGAGCTTGTCTTGGGGTCTGAGCCTGGTTGGTGGTTGCAGTCCCGAGTTGTGGGGGCAGATGATGGAGCTGTTGGGGCGGCTGGCGGGGCAGCGGGGGCATGCTGGAGGAGGAGGAGGAGGAGGAGGGGAGCGGCTGATGGAGCTGCCGGAGGAGGCTATGCGGCAGCTATACCAGGTGAGCTGGTCGATTGGATGGTGGGTGGGTGGGTGGTTTCACGGTAGGAAACGACACACATTAAAAAACCGTCAAGTTTAAGAATTGAGTACTTACCCTAGCACTGGCCGAGCACATATTGCGCAAGTTGACTCTCTGCATGGCTATCTGCACTTCCTGTCGATTTGCATTTCGTACATTCCCGTGCTGCTCGTTGCGCGTTTTTTTTTGGTTGTGTGGTTGTTACAGTTTTGATATGTGTGAGCTATGCGCGCTTTTCGTCCCCCATGGCATCATAATGTTTCGCAGATCCATGACCTTCCGTACAACCTGCTGTGTATTTTGACGTCAGCGATGTTGCCTTTTCATACATACCGACATACATACAGGCCTACATGAACGTGCGGTGCGACTACCCCACAGCAGTCCTGGCGCCAGGGCCCCCAGGGCTGTTACATCGTGCCGCTGAGTTGTGGCGGTTTCGGAGCGTGTGGGCCGTACAAGTTTCCGGACTGCAGCAATCGGTTTCGGAGGCGATGACGCGCTTGGGCCTGAGTCACACAGTTGAGGTGAGTGAGCGATTGTTGCTGACGTGGCAAGCTTTACGCCGTACGTACTGTTCCTGCTTCCTGTTCCTGGCGGCGTGTGGTGATGTAGCCGTGCCATGCGGGAACAAACATGAAGGCAATAATTGGGGGGCGGGAATGGGAGTAGATAGATACCAAGCGTAATGGTTAGGTTTCGCTTTTAGTCCTTTTGGGTGTATGCTATGCTTATGCTTAGTGTATGCTTAGTTCCTGTTGTGTGTATGCTATGGCATAGCCAAATAAGCCATCCTGGCCATTTCATTGCTCTATCGATGGCCTTTTATCTTGTCTTTCACGGCTCGGTTGCCTGTGCATGTGTGAGGAAAGTTAGACTGTGTCTGTGTCAGGATTTGCGTTGCGCGTCTGGACGTGCATGACGTCCAGGGGGGGCCTTGTCTTGCATGTTTTCTCACCGTTTTTACCCCGTGATGCAGCTAGTTGTGAACTCCTTAGTTGGTTGTTACGGTTTTCTTCTCCAGGCAGGAATGGCGCGGCGGGTAGGTAGTCATAATGCCATGCTTGGGTTTGGCAACCTAACGAAACCACCAGGCTCATGGCCAGGGATTTGCCTACTTTACCGTGCTTTACCGTACTTTGCCATACCTTACCATAAAATAAAGCTGTAGAGGGTTCACCCATAAAATGCTGCCTTTCCGTCGTCGAAAGCCTCACAATCCGAGCATCCAAGAGCCCAGCGTTTTCCCTTGGGAACAGAAACCCACGAGGAAATCTGGTTCAACTTCAACCTAGTTTGAGAAAGGGCGGCTGCCCTGTGGTGCTGCTTCCTCCTTTCCCGCGTCCTTCCACTCCTCTTTCTTAGTGGCTCGTTGACAATGGGGACTTCTCAATCGATCTGGCGATGGAGCTGGAGATACCTGTGGAGACGGCGGTGCCTTCGCACGCGACACAGCTACAGCGCGGCCAGCAGCGGCAGCAGCAGCAGCAGGAGGGGCGATGGAATCAGGCAACGTGGCCGCCGGAAGGATCAGGTATGGAGAAGCGGCCCAACGCCGGGACGGTGTGCGGAGCCATCACTGCAGCAGCGTGCATCACCGTGACTGTTGATGTTGTTACAGGGTGGTTAAGCTTCACCAGTGGCCTCCTTCCCGAGGCAATTCCCTGCTCTCCCCTGCTAGAGGGGCACCCTAAGCCATTCACCCCATCAGAGTGTACTCTTTGAGTTTGGCAACTCACCACCAGCATCCAACCAAATCTAGCGGATCAACAGCGCGTCAACTTAGTTCCTGGTCAGCTCGCGAGTTGATTTTATCACGTCCTACACCGTCCACAAGATGGGGGCCCATCTCCCATTTCATCACCCCGAGAGGTCGGCAGGCGGATTTGAACCCGGACGCGCCGGGACGTGACGGGAGCAGAAGCTAGGCCTTAACCTCTGCCAGCCGCCTGCCGGCTGTTATCGAGCGCGTGTGTCTGTCTACTAGGGAGCCTTGCATGTCGGTCTTCCTGCAGGTCTCACCTCTCAATGAAGGACCCGGAACAGCAAAAACAGCAGACGAACGCAAAGACCGTTTAAAGCTGTAAAAACGATTATCTTCCCATGATTCAGGCTAGCTCACCTCTCGATAGACCTCCAAAACGTCTTCATATCCGTCCGGGTTTCCAGTTTTTGCCTGTTGCACCCTTGCAGCCTTTATTAGGTATTCTCTGTTGAGGAGAGCTCTTGCCGCCGTCCTATGCAAGCGGAAGCCTTGCGGATCCGGTTTGGCACGGCCCCCTGCCTTCCTTGTGCACGCATGATACGCATGATACGCATGCATGCCTCTCAAGACCCTCCCCACCACAACAGTGAAATACAGCCGGCTACGTTCGATTGTCACGCGCATGCGCTCCTACCCGCACCCCCATCTTCTTCCTCTCATGTCCTGGACGATCCTTCCTCATCTGCTTGACATGTACGACCGCTGTACGTCTCCACCTACCCCGGTTCTGCACCTTATTGACATAATCAAATTTCCATCACCAGGGAAATCGTTAGGTATGGAGGCCGCATATTCCGGCGGCATCGACAGGGAGATTGGCAGCCGCACCAGCTCCAGCAGCAGGAGCAGAAGCAGGAAAGCAGCCACAAAAGTCTTGCGCGTGGCAGTGGAGGTGGACGGTCCCACGCACTTCACGTCCAACACGCGCCAGCCTCTGAGCACCACCCTCTACCGCCGGCGCTGTCTGGAGGCTCGTGGCTGGGTGGTGGTGAGTGTGCCGTACTGGCGCTGGAGCTCCGGCGGCTGTAGTCCCCAGGATCAGGAGGTGCTACTGCAGGAGCTCATGAGGCAGGAGGGGCTGTTGCCTGAAGGAGGGGCGCGGGTGCTGCGTGGGCCAGTGGCATCACCCTGCAGCCGCAGCTGAGGTAACGATGCAATGGAGCCGATGGCGATGAGCTATGATACAGCAGCCGCAGGGCGTCGATGAGGTACAGGCTGACACCGAGGCCGTAATGCTCTGGAATGGATCAATGAACTGTCAACATTACAGGGGACTAGTTGGACTGTTTTGACGTCAGTGATTATCAGCAGAGACACCATAGCCTGCATCGTAGCGGGGTTTGTTCAGATCCGATCCGCCACACCACCCAATAGATGGACACACTTGCGGACGGGGCCAGTGGCATAGTAAAATAGCTGGGCCAACGGAGACCTCCGAAAGGATTGTGTGAGGAGGGTTTCACGACGACGGTCTGTGCACAAGAGGAATGGTTGGTGTGGCGGTGCTAAACATCGTAAGTAAAATGCCATAACGTGGCCCTGGGTAATCCACTTGGATACGTTGCGACACACCTCTGGCCAGCAAGAGATCAAACCACGACCATAACATGCGGTCACCCTTGTTACCGCTATCAGCAAGTATCAACACGGGATGCCCATTCGCCAAGTCCTATCACACTCGAACCTGCCAGACCCAAATCGCCAAATCATGCAGAATTAATAACAAAGTAAACAGCGTCTAACGGTTAGCAGCACAGGGTGCATGTGCACCAAGCACTCCTCTGAACAAAACATCAAATGCCGAATTGCCTGCACATCCAAAATCCAGGTACACACGAGCACCATGGTGCCATCAACAAGGCTATTGTGGCCGCCGGGAGGCGGAAATAGAGCAGTGGACACACGGCGTGATGGCGTGTCACTACATAAAGTGGATGGGTGTTGCCTGCGCACCCGAAGAGATACGAAACATCTGGAGCACTAAAAAGGCATGTATGTATGCCGTGAAAGCATTACGTGGCATTGACGCGTTTCCGTCTTGGATGTTGGATCTAGGGGTGCTAAACAGAGGTGCTAAACAGAGGACGAAATTGTCAACCTTAAATATGCTTGACGTTTCTTAGAGTACACGTGACCATGACAATTACATAGTTAGCCAAATGGCCACGGGTCAACTGTTGGGCTTTTTCTGCCGCTGCAGATCCTGCAGTACCGACGTGCATAGCAAGGAGTATCGCAGCTTCTCTAGGACGATGGAAGCGCCCCTGGATGCATTACTCAAGTTCAAAGTCCTAGCCACAACACCACGTGAAGGCTCAATTATGCAGAGCAGGCGCATACGAACATGAACTAAAGCCTGCCGGTTGTGGCATCGACAGTTAATCCTTACCTTAATGCTTACCTCACCATCTGGAAACTTTTACTGGTATTCAACAAGGCAGGGTTGTTCATCCTGAAGATGACCCCATTCTCGACGCCTCTGGAAAATGGAGGCAAAACCGTGAAGAAGTCCCCTCAGGTGCCTTCCTAATGCGTGATGCCCCTACAAAAGGCCTTCGCGAGTTGGACAGATTGTTTTGTAAGCAAAAATAGCATCGATAGGAGCAAGGCAGCCGTGCAAAGGGTCCAGCATATTGGGGTTCGAATGCTTCCGCAGGTCTTCGCTCCGAACCTGCATTAACTGTAACCCAAAACGCTTTCCTAGAGTTGACCTACAAAAGTCCATACGCTTTTCATGCCTCAAATGCTTGATGTAAACACTAGCAGGAATTGTGAAGCGCTTTAGCCGCCGGGAAGTTTTACGGGCGTCATACTACTTTTGGTCAACCTTCGTGATGGCGTCTTGCTGTTCAGAGACATAATGCGGATAAATGGTGTCAAACCGACATGTGTCATCTTATTTGATAGGTTATGCTTGTCCGCGGCGCTCCGTTGTTCGTTGGTCGCGACTCTTGCTTATGCCACACAAAAAAGATTTCATCTCAGGCGTGCTTGAGCTCTTATTTCGTTATTGGACACGATGCGACATGTTAATCTTTGGCTTCCCTCGAGACCTATAGTAAAATAGCCATGGACCGGAAGCGCAAAGCTAGGATAGACCAAACACCTTCAGATGGCACCATATGCATCTCCATATCTGGACTCTCAACTCTCTGGGAGGCGACGCGTACATGGGACAGCGGGTCGCGAACCATCGGTGCCCCGCCGCAGCCACCCGATAGCAGCAGCGCCATCGCTATCAGGCCTCCAACCTGCAGCACAGCCAGCTCCCAAGTCCAAAAGGTCCAGCCTCGCCAAACAACCGGACTTCCCGAATGCTCGTGAGGCCGCTAGCGTTGGGGCTTCGTGGCGTGGAGGGAAACGGCACATGTCGGGAAGGCGAGGATTCCTGTTTTCGTAATGTTGCAGCGGGTCCATATCGGTTCAGCGGATCCTGTCCTTTGTACTGCCTATACTTTCCACCAAGGATAGGTGCATCCTTGCAAGGAAGGCGTGAGCCGCAAAATGCAGTGATCCCCCCTTCCACCTATCTCCCCTCCCCCAGCCGAACTCGCTCATGACGCATCACCTCGTCTGCCGCACCCAACCCCAATAACCTCACACCCATTCACGATGCCCCTTCTGGAACGCGTGCTGAGCTGCTTGCTTGCAGCGGAAAGCCGGAGGGGGAACCACCACCATCACAACAACCGCAAAGGCAGCAGGAACCGCGGCAGCGACAAAGATCACTGGGCCGATGAAAATGACACCGTCGACCTTGGCAATAGGAGGATCCGCTGCGCAGAGAGCAGCAGCTCAAGAGAGGGCTACGGCGTGCCGCCGGTGGACCGCGCCATTAGGACAGCCGTCACCGACCACCATCAACCACCACAGCTGCAACAGCCACAGCCGCAAATCTCAGGAAGGGCCATTGACACCGCAGCAGGTGCTGTGGACGCTGCGATCTACCATGGCCAGTCCAGCGCTGTTACTACTACCCGCACGTATAGGGACACTGTTCCGCGTTCTGAAACCGGCCCAGCTGTCGTCGTTGCCGCTCGTCGGATAAGAAAACAACAAGTCCTGCCGCGGCAGCTGCCAGGTGCTGTCGAGGTCGCCGGCCCCGCGGATGCCGTGTCTCATCAGCGCCAGCAGCAGCGACCCGCAAGCTGCCCTCGGACCGATAAACCGGGGAATGATTCCGCCAGCGTCAGCAGCCATGGTGACCTGGGCTCGAGTCGCAGTCTCGAGGACTCTGTCAGTCATGTCCTCCACAGCTGCACACCCCTCCGGGAGTTACGAGGGGCCACCAGCCGTCCTACAGGACGCAACAGCAGCAGTGGAGCGGGTGCTGCTGCCCATAGAACTAGACTTCATGCAGCCGGTGGTGGTGGTGGTGGTGGCCGTGATATTATGGATGATGTTGGTGGTGGCCTTTGTGGCGATGATGGCGATGATGGCGATGATGGCAACGGCAGCATTGGTGGGCTTGGCGGCCGAGATCAGGGGGGCGCGAGATGCATCCCCAGGGTCCCTACCCGAGCTCCGGCTCACCACCGCGCCATCAACAAGGCTATTGTGGACGCCGGGAGGCAGCGTAGCCATCAGGCCATACTGCAGGTCCTTGGGTTGGGTTGGAGAGGGCAGGGGAGCGGGTGAAAGGGGTATGTGTGTGTGTGCGCGTGTGTGTGCGTGCGTGCGTGCGTGTGTGTGTATGTGTGCGTGTGTGCGTGCATGTGTGTGTGTGCGTGTGTGTGTGCGTGTGTGTGTGCGTGTGTGTGTGCGTGTGTGTGTGTGTATGTGTGTGCGTGTGTGTGTGTGCGTGTGTGTGCGTGTGTGTGTGTGTGCGTGTGTGTGTGTGCGTGTGTGTGTGCGTGTGTGTGTGTGTGTGTGTGTGCGTGTGTGCGTGCATGTGTGTGTGCGTGTGTGTGTGTGTGTGCGTGTGTGCGTGCGTGTGTGTGCGTGTGTGTGTGTGTGCGTGTGTGTGTGTGTGCGTGTGTGCGTGCATGTGTGTGTGTGCGTGTGTGTGTGTGTGTGTGCGTGTGTGCGTGCATGTGTGTGCGTGTGTGTGTGCATGTGTGTTTGTGTGTGTGCGTGTGTGCGTGTGTGTGTGCGTGTGTGTGTGCGTGTGTGTGTGTGTGTGTGTGTGTGTGCCGGTGGGTCTGCAAGGGTGGAAGAATCCCTGAGGCCCCGGAGAGTCGCACGTCAGGGCTGCGGGTACTGCTGCTATTTACTAGGTGAGGACGATAAAAAACCCTAGGTGACGTGCAGCTGTACCCTGGGTTCGTAGGAACTGCGCCGTGAAACGTTTCGCACTTGGTGGTGCCTCTTTCTGCTACCTGCTTGCTTTTTTTCCTCAGATATACCTTTGCAGATATGATTTGCGTATGCGTACCTTTCAACGCCCTCGCGACCTTTCCCAACCGACTTGTGCGTTGCAGTTGGTTGCGCAGCACGGTGCGCAGTTCAACTCCGTGAATGCGGCGACTGCGATGCATCGGTTGGGTTCCTGCGGGCTGCAACCGGGCAGCTGGGAGGCGAGGAAGCTGCTGACCGACCCACGGTTCGCACAACTGGAGCGCCTGGCGGGTGAGTGTCCATGGTGATTGTTTTTAGTGGTGCGACACCCAATGACTCCGGAATGGTATGGGAGCAAACCCCGTACTGCACACGTACTGATTGTCGTGACTTCCTAATGCAGCATGGCGTTTTGTTTGGCAGCTTGGGTTGGTGCATATGCGCAGCAATTCAGGCACACAATGCTTGTTTGGTTCCAATTTGTAGTAACTTTGCAAACGATGTCTGCCTGTCTGTCTGCGGTCCTCGGAAAGCGAGTACCCGCAGAAGCAAGCTGCAAAATTTCGAGCCGAATGCACTTCTACCGGCCGCTTCATACCCTTACCTACCCTACCCGGTCATTACCGCAGCTATCCGATAATTTAAGTCGAGGAAAATCGCTGCTTTGCGAAATATGCGCAAAGAAAGAGAGCACCTTCACGTCCCGAACTCCCAGCTGCCCTGTCGTACGCTTCCCCGTTTGTCACTTCCCTGTTCCCGCCAATGGCCCAACGCCTTTCGCAACCGTGTCTGACACGTGCGTTATCCCATGTACCATGTACGGCACACCGTGTGGACGATGACATCACGCCGTACGCACCGCAGCGGGGCACCTACCTTCCTTTGATGGTCCTGAGGTGGCCAACTGCATGTGGGCACTTGCCAAATTAGGATACCGGGCGCCAGCGGCAGTGGCCAAGAGCCAGGGCAGGCGTGCGGTCAGCACGGGAGCCAGCGGGAGTTTGGGCGGCGGGGGGAGTGGCAGGGCGTTGCTCCTACAGGGCTTGAGCGACCGGGCAGGACTTGTGCTGCAACAGCTCACATCTCAGACGGTGGCCAAGACCTTGTGGGCACTGGGGAGAATGGGTAAGCCGGAGCCGGAGCCGCGGCAATGAACCATATCGCTGTGGGCCGGCGGGGGGGTGCAGGGGTGGGGGTGCGCAGTCCACCGGTACCTAGCTGGCGACGGTATTAGCAGCTGCATTTTTGTAGTACCGCACGGTGATGGCTGGGCCGCTGTCTTGCTTTAATGCATGGACTTGGAAAGCGCCATGACGAATGTGAATGTATACATGTGCACACGCTAAGTAATAGTATATACACTAATATATAGTCCTTGGCCTCACAGCTTGACGGAACCCCCCCCGCACTCGGGCGGCACTTGTAACTTGTAACTAAGCAAGATGCGCCATGATTGACGCCACGGCGAGTTGGTGGCTGAGGCAGCGCTGAAGAAGCAAGAGGCGAACTTCGGTCGTAATTCCCCTTGTGTGCTTTTATTTCGGTTTGTTTTAGCATGATGTAGCTTGTAAAATTGGTCTGGGGACACGCAACTGCTGATGCGGATTGCCTGTGCCAACATGGGCCGGCCGCATGGGTGCCACCCGGCGTTCCGGTGTTTCCGTGTCTCGTCTCACATCCCCTATGCCTGCTGCCGATGCCCTGGATGGATGCTTTCACCACCCAGGAAAGGAATGGTTGCTGACCTTATCCGCTCGATTACGTATAAGTATAATCTTGTGCCCCCGCCCCGCTCCACCCGCTCACCACACCCCGCAGGCCACCACCCTGGCGAGGTCCTGCTCCGGAACCTGTGCGACCGCCTGCTGCAGGTGCTGCCCCAGGCGAGCCACCAGGACGTGTCGAACTCATTGCTGGGACTTGCCAAATTAGGATGGAGCCCGGGGCCTTATGTGCTGGACCAGGTGGCCCGCGGGTCGGTGGCCAAGATTGGAGAGTTCAATGCGCAGGTGGGGGGTGTTGTTGGTAGGGGCGGATGACACTGGAGACAAAGTGAAGTAAGCCGTATGAGCCGAGTGAAGCCATGAGTGATTGCTCACGGTGCTTGCTCACGGCGAAGCGGCTGATGTGCATGGTGTTGTGTTGTGTCGTGGTGTATTGGCTCGTACCATGTCGCATCTTATGGCAAAAGGCAAATTATGGCATTATGGCATTTATTCATCCATCATGAGTATGAAATGCAGTTAGAAGCGTGAGCAGGAGGAGGACATATGCCTGTTGCCTGACCTTTGTGTTGCTTAGAAGCACGTACGTTCTCCCTCGCACCTTGCGACTGGTGTACCTGCGGAGCCCTTTAGCCTGTACCTGACAGCAGGAGTAAGCATGCGAGTAAAACCCTCGCTTTCAAAATCAGCGTTCCAGCGCGTGCTGCACTTCTGCACGTGCTGCTCTTCTGCACGTGCTGCTCTTCTGCTTGCATAAAGCCTCATGGCAAAACGTGTCGAAACTTGCGTTTACATATGCAGGAGCTGTCTAATATGATGTGGTCCCTAGCACATGTCAAACACTGCAACGCCAAGCTGCAGACCGCCATATTCCAACAGGTGGGATGACTAAGTGACAGCTTGTCGCCGGTGCGCATACTCGAGCACAGTGGGGGGTATTTCCGGGTGCGGGTGCGGGTGCGGGCGCAGGGGTATCCCTTGGCGGCACATGTATATCCCTGCCTCCCTACCTGTCCATTTTTGTCCAACTACCATCTCTCTACTCTATCCACCCGTCTGACTATCTGTTCACGTGCCTATCGGCGCATAGGGTTGCACACACGCAGCCTCTGCTGCTACGAGGTTGTCAATCACGTCGATGAAACCACTCACCCGCTCCCCCCCGCCCCCGCTTCTGTGTCGTCCTGCGCCGCCTTTGCAATTGTATTTTTTACTTCCTGCGTTTTCTTCCGTTTTCATAGAGGTTCTTTAGGGCTTCTTATTTCCAGCTTCCCCGGTCAGCCAGCTTAATACTCCCTTTCAGCAGCATTCGCATGCGTTCTTGTCTTTATCGTTCGCTGCTCAACTCTCCCACCTCTCTGCCTCGCATGTGCCTTTGCCCGCTGCTTCTGCTGCCTGGCCAGGTGAGTCCAAAGGGAGGTTCGAGCTTTTTCGGTATATCGCGTTGGCGTCGGTCGGCTAGCCAAACTAGGATAGTGGGGTCGGTCGGGTCGGTCGCGCGTTTTTTTGGGGGTTTGGGAGGAGCACTTGCATACCGACAGCTTATCATTACCAGCAAATCAGCTAATTCTCCAGGCCAGCAGCAAACTTTATTCCAGCTTTACGACAGCAGTGCTTAACTACTTCTCCGCCGCCTCTACACCTACTTTTCTACACCTACTTCTTTATGGCTTGGCATGACTGCTTTCTCTGCTTTTTTAGTCCTGGCGGCTTAGGTAGGTAGTTTTTCCGACATCAGCTTCACTACGTCATCCCGAGGTCGCGGTCTTCACGGACGCCTTTCGGTCAGTTCTACGTCTGGTACACTCTTGCCCTGCCAGCAGCTTCACTCGTTTGTGGTTCGTCTTTCCCCGCCCCTCCTGGTGCCGCCACCCCATGCGAGCGCATGACCTCACTGCCCCATGCATTGCATTGCACCTCCCATCTATGAATATCTATCCCCTCTGAAGGCCCTGAAACGGCTTCCGGAGTTCAACCCGCAAAACATCTCCAACCTGATCTGGGCCGCTGCGGCCCTGGAGCTGAGGCCTTATGGTATGACTGCTACTGCTACTGCTGCTGCTGCCGTTGTCGGTGGCGGGGACGATGATGGCGGTGCTGGTGGTGGTGGTGGTGGTGAAGGTGAGGGCGCCAAATCGCAGCAGCAGCATTCACAGCAGCAGGAGGGCGGCATCCCCGAGGAGCTGCTGCGGATTTGCTGTGATCGTGCGGCGGCGACGCTGCAGGCAGGTTTCTACCACCGGTTGCTAGCCTGCTGGTTGGCTTCATGGTACCGCAGGGCACATGACGGCGCGTCTGCAGCTGCTGCTGTGAGGGATCGGATGCGTGACGAGGATATACATATAGATGCCATGTATTCATGCCTTATTGTTGTATTCTATCGCGCTCTACCTTGCTGCCGCTTGCACCGCCAGCGACCCTCCCTCCCCCAAAAGGCCGCCATCGTTCGCGTCACGTGCCGCCCAACCCACCCACCCCTACTGCCCAACCCGACAGCACTTCACCTACCAGGAGCTGTCCAACCTGCTGTGGTCCACCGCCAAGATGGGCTACTTGCACGAGCCCCTGATGCGAGCGGCAGCCAGACAGGCGGCCAGACAGCTGGCAGCGGAGGTGGAGGAGCGGGAAGGCAGGGAGGAAGAGCAGCTGGAGGACGAGAATGGCAGAGGGGACAGCAGCGGTGGCGGTGAAGAGGACGACCTGGCGGCGGCGGAGTGCAGGGCAGCAGCCAGCCGGCCTTCAGCTCGAGGTTGTGTTCGGTCCTGGTCCAGCCAGGCGGTGTCCAACACCACTTGGGCTTTCGCCACGCTGGGGCTGCACCCGGGCGTGGAGTTCCTGAACCAGGTGATGGCGGCGGCGCTTTGAAGCCAGCGCGCTGTTGGGGTGTATGCAGGGCTGCTGTTGGTTGGGTGGGTGGGTGGGTGGAAATGAAGCAGCTGATGAACCGACTGGGGTTGTGATGTCTGTCCAACATGGTATTGTAGATGCGGGTAGATGCTGGTGTCGTGGATTGTGCCGGAAGCTGACGCTGCATGTCGGAAGAGAGCTACGGCGATCGATGTTTGATGTTAAATTTTGGGTGGTTTTCGTGTGTTACGTCGTCATACCGGTTTCTTGCCTGGCTGCCTGCCTGCCTGAAGCATAAAGCAGTACCTGCCCCCGCGGACCTGAAGGCGCCCCCCAAGGCTGACCTACCGGTATATCGCGTCTAACGTGTTCTGGTGTATAATGTTTCGTGCATCGCGTATACAAGCATATATGTTCACGGGATCACGGTATGTACGCAGCGTGCAATAAGACTGCGGGGTCGCATGCAGTCGTGTGTTCATCCCGCGTTCCCAGAGGAGTGGTGTGGCGCCGGTGGTGTCTCCGGCTCCTTGGCGGGGTGTTTCCCAAATCCTGACGCTGTGAAGTGCAGGTGTGGATAACGATCACCTAAGCCTTCCCCAACCCCACTTAGCACCGTTTTCTTCGCCGCGCGCTGATGTGTGTAGCCCGAAGTTGGCCGACCTCCCAATTGTCCCGCCCGTCACGCCGCCTGCTTTTTCTTCTCCGCTCCCGGAACCTTAATCTTAATCCTTGCACGACTCTGCTTTCCTTGTCATTCGGCTTTCCATTGAAGGCTTCTTTTTTCCCCTATTATCACCTTCCCTTAATACAGTTTTTTCAGCAGCACTTTGCATTCCTTCCCTTGTTCGCTTCCTTGCTGCTCACAAACCGTTTTCCTTTCTNTTGCATGCCCTCTACCCGCTGCCTCTGCCGCTGCCCGCTGCCTCTGCCGCTTGTGCCGCCTGGCCAGGTGAATCCGAGTAGCTTCGAGTTTTGTCGGTGTACCGCGTTGTGTCGGTCGGCTAGCCGGGCTAGGGTTTGGGGGCGTTGGGGGGTTGGGAGGAGCACTTGCATGTCACCAGCAGCTTACCACCAGCTTATCAGCCAGTTCTGCCCAGGTTCCTCCATTCCGCCGCCAGGCCGGCAAACCATTTGTTTCCAGCTTACGTCACCTCTTTCTCTACTCACGTCAGCTTTTCGCTCTTCGCCGCCTTTGCACCTACCTTTAGAATATTACGGATGGTTCTCCTGCTCTCTTTCCGCACTTTATGTTAGTCTTGGCGGCTAGGTAGGTAGTTTTCCGCTATCGTCTTCATTACATCATCGCGAGGACTTCTTCTTCACAAGCGCCGACTGGTTAGTTCCTTACTTCTGGCGCATCAGTCTTGCCTTGGCAGCAGCTTCATTCGTTCGAGGGAGGGGGTTCGCCTTCCCCTCCTTCTCCCTCCCTCCCCCTCCCTCTCGCTCCCTCCCCCTCCCTTGCCCTGGCAGCAGCTTCACTCGTTTGTGGTTCGTCTTTCACCCTCCCCCTTCATCCCAGGTCTGTCGGCACCTCTCCAGCCCTGTCCATGTGTGCAGCTACAAGTGGCAGGAGGTCGCCAACACGGTGTGGGCCCTGGCCTCACTGGGACACCGGGACACGGAGGCGCTGAGGGAGGTGGAGAGGGAGGTGGCGGACAGGATCAGAAGCGGGAGCGGGAGCAGCAGCGGGATCAGGAACACGAGGGGAAGGGAGAAGCAGGGCGGGGACGTGATGGAACCACTGACGCCATCAAGAAGCCTCCAGGAAGAGGACGAGGAGGAGGGAGTGGCGGAGGGAGCGCACGAGGATCGCCCGCAGAGCAGGTGGGGGTGCAGCTGGGGGTGCTGTGACCAGGCAGGGAAGATGTGCACGGCATGGCAATGCACTTCCCGCCATCCGCTCCTGACGGCCTTGGAGCACGGTCTTGGAGCATGGGCAGGATGTAAGAGGGCAGAGCTGCAGGCCGCTGCTTTTCACATCAGGGCAACAAATCCTAGCAACGCTATGCGCGTTGACTTCAGCATCCGTTGCCCTGGCCGTACGGCCTTCCCTTATCCTGATCGTCATAAGAGCACACGCACGTGAACTATATGCAACCCAACACACGTCGAGCTTTTTCTCTACGTATCAAAACCCCAATGGGCCTTACCTTACCTGCCCACGCAGGCTTCTCCCTTCCAAACCTCACCAGCTGCGACCCCAGCACATTTCCAACCTGCTCTGGTCGTACGCCAGTCTGCAGCACCCAGCACCCCAGCTCTTTACCGCGCTGATGCCCCTGCTGGTGCGCCACCTGCCCCAGTTCAGCAAGCAAGAGATTAGCAACAGCGTTTGGGCGGCGGGGAGGCTGCAAGTGTACGACCCACGGGTCATGGACGCCGTGGCGGAGCACGTGTGTGCACACCGTCTGCCGTACTTGAAGCCCCAGGAAGTGGCGAACATTGCTTGGGCGTTTGGGGCCCTTCGGCACGCGCATAAACCCCTGATGGATGGTCTGGTGCGGCGCGCTGTACATTTCATGTCGACACCGCCATCCTCCTCGTCATCATCATTATCATCACCATCTTCATCGTCATCGTCATCATCACTATCATCGGCGACACCGTTCCAGATATCGCCATCCATGCCGTTGCTATCGCCTTGCCCCTCTTCATCGTCGCCATCCGCACACCGTCGCTATGATAACCCACACGACGAGGACGTCGTCACGCGGCGTCCTCCCGTCAGTGGCTCACTCAAGATGCAGGAGCTGGCGAGCATCTGTGGCGCTGTGGGGCTCTTTGGTTGGCGCTACCCGGCGTTATTGGAAGCCACCACGAGGCGACTTACGGCATACATCAACCAAGCAACCCAATCAACTTCGCCATCGGCACCGACTCCGCGGCATGAAACGATACAGGGTATCCAGCACCAGCACCAGCAGCAGGAAGCACACCGTGCTGAGCGCTGCCAGCCGCAGCAGCAGCAGCAAGAGCTGAAGGCCCGGGATATTGTCAACCTCTCTTGGGGTCTGAGCCTGGTTGGTGGTTGCAGTCCCGAGTTGTGGGGGCAGATGATGGAGCTGTTGGGGCAGCTGGCGGGGCAGCGGGGGCATGCTGGAGGAGGAGGAGGAGGGGAGCGGCTGATGGAGCTGCCGCAGGAGGAGCTCGTGCAGATTTACCAGGTACGTCAGTAGGTCGGTGCGCGTGCCGTCTTTTTTCTGGATACGTGTCCTTTGTCCTCGCTTCATGTGTCTTGCCTGGCTGCATGTCCCCGGTTTCATATTCCAGCTCTAATCCAGAGAGCCACCTCATTTGGTCCCTAACAGTCCGTATCTCGGGCGGCCGTCTGCTCAAAGTCAGACTCTCTCCGAGGTACGCAGTTGGGATGACACTGCTTTCCCACACGAGCACCCCGCATCACTCGTGTAATGACATCCTCCCCAGCTGACGGGCGGGCCGCACCGTGCTGCTGCTGCTGCCGTGTCCCACATCGCACATCGCTTCGCTTGGCCTCGATGCAGACTTTCTTACACGTGCAGCTGGACTTTCCTGTCACTACTGCTACTGCTGGTCCTGATGCTGGTGGTGGACTTCACACCAGTCCTCCTGGGCTGTTGGTGGCGGGTCGTGAGGCCTGGCGGCAGCTGAGCCAGCAGGGGGCGCAGGTGTCGAGCTTCCAGTGGGAGGTGTCCAAGACGCTTACCCGGCTAGGGCTCAACCACAGCGTGGAGGTGCGGTCGCTGCGTTTGTAGCTTGATGGTTGGCCTTTTGGACGCCACGACACAACATTTCGGGCCTTACATGGGCGCGCGTCTGTTGCTGTCTAGGCTGGGCTTCCCCTTTTTCCTAAAATGTGCGAAACGAAACGTGTGCTGCCGTTGCTGTTCCTCCTGCCCGACCCCACCAAACTTCGTACACGGCCCTGTCCATTCCGCAACTCTCAGCTGCTCACCAGTGGCGGGAAGTTCTCCATTGACTTGGCGCTGGAGCTGGTGGCAGAGGTAGAAATGGAGATGGAGCAGGCAAAGGAGGACAATATGGAGAGCGGGGAGGTGATGGGGCCTGCAGCGCTCACGGAGCAACCCAAGCAACAGCAGCCGCAACCCCACCTCCACTACCAGCCTCGAGGCCGGGATGAGGGGAAGCGACGAGGTGAGTCGACGCTGCTTAGGTTTCATTTTTGATTCCTGTTTGTAAAGTAGATGAACTTGTGTCGAGTTCAGTGAAAGGGCGGCACGTCTTTGTTCTGTTCACAATGCTCGTGCGCTATCGGTGTTTATCCCGCAAGTAGCATCCGTGGTGTGTGCATCTTCCCGGCGCCTTGCCTGCCGGGCTATAATGGCTGCGGTGTAACTCCAGCGCCTCCCACTGGGCTCCAGTAGCCATGTTGGACTACACACCGGCAATTTTTGCACGGTGGTGGGCGACGTGGATAATCCGGTGGACGTCGTGGATTGGACTATCCAATGCGAGCGTGCAAAAGTTTCACATGTCTTCGTTTAGATGTCTGCGCATGTTCCCAAAGCCTCTGCATGTGCGACATTGCGCGACATGTCATCCCGACATAATTGCATCGCTGTCTTGGGTCTCTTTCGTTTTCCACATGGCTGCCGCGATTCATCCCTTGACGTTTCTCAAGACATCCGTGATAGCTGCAACAGCAGCAACAGCAGCGACGGCGCTAGCAGCAGCGGCTACAGTGACGACGGCACACCCGTAAGTACTTCCGAGACTTCCAGAAAGCGTGTAGTGAGGGTTGCGGTGGAGGTGGACGGTCCCACGCACTTCACGTCCAACACGCGCCAGCCTCTGAGCACCACCCTCTACCGCCGGCGCTGTCTGGAGGCTCGTGGCTGGGTGGTGGTGAGTGTGCCGTACTGGCGCTGGAGCTCCGGCGGCTGTAGTCCCCAGGATCAGGAGGTGCTACTGCAGGAGCTCATGAGGCAGGAGGGGCTGTTGCTGAGAGGGGACCACCGCGGCAGGGTTAGATATCTTGCATGATGTACGTAAAACTAAGCATTGAGATGATCTGTATCTACATGTGTGCATGTTGAAAGGAAACGTGTCCGCTCCACAGCATTATTATATCGTGGTTCAGTGGCACGACGGAGATGTGGACGTGCTGCTGGGTTCCATATCCGTTGGTAGAGGTGCTGAGGTAGAGGGCAAGAATGGGGAGAATGGGGAGACAGTTTTCCGTGACATGGCTGGCCTGCAGTTGCTTGCAGCTCCTACCCTAGCTCTTACCTGGAAAAGCGAAAACGCGAGTGCGTCGCAGGGAGAGAGGGTGAGAGGTGCGTCGCAGGGAGAGAGGGTGAGAGGTGTGTCGCAGGGAAGCAGGGAATTCGTCCCCTGCTGTTGCTGTGGCGGCTGGATGCTGAATCGGTGGCTGTTGTTACCGTTATAGGACGTTACCAGCTGCAGTCCAGACGTGACAATAAGACAGTGAAGAGGAGCCAAAGAGCTGTACGTAGAGTGCTAGTCAGGAGGAGGAGGAAATTTTTTTGGGTGGCTTTGGTGGCTTACCTCCATATTTTTGGACTGAAATTTGAAACTTATTGAGTGAAGCTCCACATCTAGCCCCGAGACCATGTCTGGCACGTACAGCAGTATGCGGCATGTACAGCAGCAAGTAAATACATGTACAACGGGTGGTGAGGCGATTTGTAGCACAGTATCGATTCTCTACGAGGCCCAGCGCGTGTACGTGGCACATACACATACACGCAGCCAAAACGATGCCCACAGCTATGTAACGTAAGCCATGTAGACGGCACCTCACGGCATGTGCCTGATTAGGAACCATTGTTCTGTTGAAGCAAACATATGTGCGTACAAATCAGATATCATTCCTAGGCCAGGGGCATAAGGTCTTGGGCACAAGGTGGGCGGGTAAGGCGGAGATATTACCAACATCTTATTTTAGGCGTAGTCGAAAATGTGGTTTGAAGACGGGCGTCAGAGCGGCGTCGTACGGTGCGGTTGGTTGGTTGTTGTATTGAGCTGCGGTTTGCTCGGTGGTGTTTCGTCTTGTCTAATTATCTTCCTGGTGATCTCGGACTCGGCTGCTGGTTGATACGAGCTCTTTTTACCAGAACAGCTGCTAGCTGCCGCTGTTATTGTCCGTTGGTCAGCGGTGTGGGTCTGGCGACCTTTCTTTCAAACGTTCCGCTGCAAGGCTGACACCCCCTCCCAAGTGTGGGCGAGGATGACGCAGCGAGCGTACCTGGGCGCGGCGCTTACAGGACAGCCTCAGTCCGCCAGCCGGTCCGGCTCCAAGCGGCCCTTCGCCGCCACGCTGGCCCCCGGGGTTGGGCCCCCAAGAGGAACCCCAGGACATCACGTGCCTAATCTGCAACCAGCGGGGCCACCACTTTCGAAACTGCCCACAACTCCAGGCCATGCCCCGGGACCAGCAGCAGGCAGCGGTCGACAGGGCTCGGGCGCGCTTGCGGGCGGGCGCCCGTGGGGCACCGGCATCAGCGTAGGTCGCGGAGGCGCCGGCCGCCGCTTGCCCCCTCCCTGGAACGCCACCGGAGCGGACCCATCAAGGCGGCCGGCGCCCAACAACAGGCGGACGTCGCTGCACAACGTGAGTTCCATAAGGGGCTGCTTGTGCACCCCGTCCCCGTTGGGCCTTGCGTGCGGGTCGTGAAGAGGCCGAGTTTGTAGCGCAGTGTGCCTTGCTTAGTGCGCCTGTCAGTGTTTTGGGGAGGGACTACTCCGCGTTGCCCTGTGTTGGGTCGTACCTGCCTTGTCCGCGAGCCGGCGTTAGAGCTGCCCTCCCCGTCGGGCGATAGACAGGGCGCACACCGCGATATCGGCCCCCTCCTCGGGGATAAGGAGGCATCCTGGTGGCGTTTGTGTTTTGGCCAATCTGGACTTGATGAGGGGGGAATTCTTGAGGGATCACCCCAGGCGCCTACCCCGGCGGTTGGTACCGCTGCACCACTTGCTTGCGTGCGGCGGCGGGGATCGGATCAGTGGCCCTTGGGAGTGTTACGGAGGAACTGGCACAGCTGGCCGTGGCGTTACACGGCAACGCGGTCGCAGACAGCTCATCGGTCACCTACGAGTCGGGGCGGCGACGGTGCAGGGCAAATGCGAAGCCGCTGAGGGCGATGGAGTTCACCCAGGACGCCTGCTGGCTGGTTTTGGGGTTTTTCGGGATGCTCCGGAGGAGTGAGTTGGCGGCCCTGACGGTGGGCTGCGTTGAGGAGTTGCCGGGAGGGGGTGTGGGGCTGCAGATTGTACGTAGCAAGACGGACCAGAAGGGCACGGGGGCGTTGGTGTGCCTGGCAGCGCTCACCCAGAGCGGCATCCCCATCGCTCGCATAGTACAGCGGCACCTGGAGTGCGTGCGAACGGCCGAAGTTCACTCCCCGCTCTTCGTATGGGGAATCACTGGGCCGGGCAAGCGGGGCTCGGCTTGGTGGCGCGGGGATTTCACTAGTAGGCTGCATGTGTTGCTGGGAGAGTTGCAGGGATACGAGCCGGAGCTGAGGCTAGATCTCACTAGGATATCGGCCCACAGCTTGCGCAAGGGCGGGACCACCACGGCTACCGATGCTGGGGTGTGTCTGGAGGAGATTAAGGCGCACAGGCGGTGGAGGTCTGATGCGGTGCTGGTCTACTTCGCCGGTCCGTGGCTGTGAGGCGGGCAGTGGTGGAGCGAATGTGGCGCGACTGGGTGAGGGGGGATGTTTCGCTGGGTTAGGCGTGGGGCCAAAGTAACCCAAGCGAGGCCGTCGGCTGCCTGCTGGTTACCAATGTGGAAGAGCACGGTAGCCCAGAAGGGCCAGAAGGGCCGCACGAAGTAGCATGCGGGCTCTGGCAGGCAGGCTGGGCGTCTCTTCTCCCCAACCATATGTCCACGTCCCCGGTGCCTTGTTCTTGTTAGTTGTGCTGTAACGAACGCGTTTTGGGTTTCTCGTCCCGGTTCTGGGTCTGGCTAGCTGCTCAGCCCGGATTCAAAAGGAGGGGTGCAGAGATTAGAATTTGCCGCCTTGCCACGTTGCACATCCCACCGAACGGTGCTTTCCTGCGCCCCGAGCAATCGTGCAAGCCAAACAGGATTATACGACACTATCGGTACACATTTAAAACGGGCAGGTTTTGTGTTAATGGCGCGTATCATTTTTCGTATTCTAGCAGATATCACGGCAACAGAGTGTCTGCTCGTTGTAGCCCTTCTTTGGAAGGCGCCGTGCCTCAAATTGCAGTGCATGCTTTGTAATTCTGCAGTCTGCTGGGATATGTCGGTTCCAGTGCGTCTGTTGAAGCCAGGGGATATTCCTGCATCACTGAGACCGCTCAAAGCATGATTCTCAAAATGGTTCCTCCGCAAATTTCCTCGCCAATATAGCGGAGCTCCATGAGTACGCAGCGGATGGAGCTCGGGGACACGTCATTGCACGCCAACGGATAACGATGACGAGGTGGCGGGGGCTCTTTTCAGCGAAATGGGAGGGGAATTACAAGTGCGTGTTGTTAACGCTGGTTGTCCGTGGTGACTACCGAGGAAGGGGTGTCAACTATCGTCACCGATGTTGCCAACACTAATTCATTCGCGCTGAGGTTCTTGAAAAGGATTGGGTCTAAGCAACTTGGGCGGCTAACGGCCGCGGCGTCGAGCTGGAGCTGAAGACTTGCATGGTCAGGGAGGCAGGTACACTACCGCTGACAGCTGGCGCGCCAACGTGCTTACGTCGACAGCCGATGCAGTCCAATCACATGCTTCGCAGCGTCTTAGTTTTGAAGCCCACCTTCCGACGCTGGTGTGGCCGGGTGCAAGGAGTCGGTGGCCCTCGGGGTGGTCAGGGTGGCGGCCCTCGCTTACAGGTTGCCCTACTACTCCCCCTGGCCTTTGCTAAAAGATGAGGAAGTGTTGATGGACATCACGAGTCGAGCATAAACCTCTAAGCTACCGTCACTGTTAGGGGGTTTCATGCCGGCATGCCCGGAAGTGGAACAGCAAACCAAGCTCTGTACTAAGTCACATCAAGTACCTTGCCTTATCAAATCACCGACAACACGCTCGATTCACACGCAGGCGCCTTCCTCACAACCAACTCCATGCAAGCACCGAACACACAATCCATCTAGGCCGATGTTTAATTTATTCATTCACAAGTGGCGGGATCATATGCTTTACGAGTGTATCCATGTTCGTGTGATGGGAGGAAGGACTGAAGGAACAGCATATTCAGCTCTAAAAGGAGCTAGGCGGATCCAGCGGGGAAAGGGGAATATGATGCACCACGCGCACCACACACAGAAATCTGCAGCACCTTTTGCGGTTCTTGCTCATGCTGCCGCACCGTAACCCCATCTTTACTTTCTTGCTCTTCTCATTGCGTTTCAATAACCTTCGCCTCCAGGTGCACTATGTGCCACAAGAAGGCCCGGAACCTAGTAACATGCAAATGTATGTATGTACCATGCGCCACCGCGAAAGGCAGGCCATGCACAAGCCATCCTGAACGAGAGCCAAAAGACGCAGTCGACCATGGCAGGCGTTCGTCCGTTCGTTCAACAACGCATTCGTCAGTCCATTCGTTCCTTGTGCTCACAATTTCATTCACATAACACACTGATGCCCGCCCCCAAAGTAGTGCTCCGCTTTCCCCCCAGGAGGAACAAACGGCCCTTTGCCGCTCCTGAGCCACTTGACGCCGTCAAAATGCACATATGCATACGGAGGAGGAGAAAGCAGAGTAGGGAGGAGAAAGAGCCCTGCCAGACTGACAGGCGCCCCTCACCTTTTGTGGAATCCTGCTGTGGCAGACATGCCAGGGCTCAGGCAGTATGGGGCCGGCCTGACAGCTGGGAGTGAACCTGCGGGTCAGGGTTCATCCAAGTCCAACACCATGACGCCAACCAACCGTGTTGGTCAGCCCGTATGCAAAACGTTGGAAGGGGGAGCAGCTGTGCCAGGAGAGAACGGCAACAACCAGGTACGTGTTGCATGGCTAATTAAAAGTTCACAAGCAGGGATGAGGGCATGTCGGCACCGTGGGCACCAGAGGCCATACAAGCGCCACCCAGAAGGGGGCCAAGTGCACAAGAGCGGAGTTAGGGCGGGCCGGGCAAGGCTTACGACAGAGTCGTCGTGATATTCACTAGCACAGAGCAGCAGAGCCGGGGATGGAAGCGGGGACCGGGGATGGAAGCGAAAACCGGGTGCCAAATGGCTCTGCTGCTGCAGATAACACGTCCCACCCATTCTTTGTGAAAGGGTTTTCTTTAGAGTTTTTAGGAAACCTAAAATCCCTAGAACACGAACCACTTCTCCCCCCCCTACGACGGTGCCTCACACGCACACCTTAGGGACCACTTTCGGACACCATTTCTTTGCATTTCTAGCCCATCGCCCGCCTGCCCACCCACACAGACTGCCAGCCGTTTTCCCCGCCATGTCCCCGACTGGCTGCACCAGGTCCTGACTCACTCACCGTGCCCCTGACTGGCCGCACTGGCACCCGGGCTCAACCCCACAGGGCCCGCTTCCTGAAGCAGCTGCCCGTCACCTGGGCCCTGCAGTTAGTTCACAACGTCCATCCAACGGCCACACGTTTTAGTGTTACCGCACATCGGTTGTTGTCAGTCACCGCCGGCAGCGCAGGAGCAGCAGCTGGGAGATAGAGCAGGGTGGACAATCACTTGGTACTGCTACTGCACAAAAAGCAGCGCTAGCAACTGCTGCTCTCGAAAACAACCATCAAACTCATGGATTGCCGTTTAGACGATTATTTATTTATGATAGGATGTCGATTTGAAATGACAGCGCAGCGTGAAGTAGGATTTTGACTTTCCTCCACCTCCTCCTCGTCCTTTTCTTCTAGAAGGGTCGTCCTGACAGCATGATGCGTACGCGTGACTTCACGAGCCACGGAACCAAACACCGGGGGCCCATCTTTACTTTACACGATCAATCACCGACCAACCGACCGACACACGCACACGTACACACCTGGAGTGGCATCTGCCCCGTCACTTGCCCCGGCGGTTGCGGTTGCGGCAGGGGGGGCGGCGGCAGCGGCATCTCCGTCGTGACCGTGCCGCTGGCCATACGCGCCATGGGCGCCATGGACACCACACCGGTACTTCCGCCACCACTGGGGGGGTTGCTGCCACCGCCAAGCGCCCCACTCAGCTGCGAGAAGGGAAGGACAATCGAGTGCACCCAGGGGGGGGTTTCCATACCCTTCAACGGCTTGTCTCCATGAGGGGCAGACGGCCCACAAAGCAAGCTGCCACAGCCCGGGTACCCGAGGGTGGTTTCCATGGGGGCCATACATTACCGTACATTGCAATACTTCACAGCGCATGTGACGGTCCATTTGGGAGCGCCGCCTTCTCCACCTCACTCCGCAAGTCCGACCCGCTACGCCACCTCTTCCTCTTCCCATTCCCCGACTCCGCCATGTTACGTCATTCCTACGTCATTCCTGTACTCGGTTCCCACCGCTTTCGTCCTTACACCCCCCCTCTTTGGCTTTCACCCTCTCTACATATGCAAACGGCCTTCCCACCTGGCTAATCAGGCTGCCACCCGCCGGAGGACCTGGAGCCCCTCCGCCTCCGCTGACGGTACCAGCCGACGCGGCAGCGTTCATAAGGCCCGACAGCGCACCCGCCGCCTGGATCTGCATCTTCTCGTCGTGTGACACAGCCTGAGCCTGCAGACCAGTGCGCGTGCGCGGGAAGCAATACGCGGATAAAGATGCATCCTGGAGGTGTGGGGTGTATGGGGGACAAAGAATAATACACGTCACGAATGTACGGAAATATAACCCGGATGTCACCACATTGGGGGCACACATGTGCCGTCCCTGGCCCCACCTGCATCAGCAGTGCCGATACCGTGGGCATCTGCGCGGCCGCGTTCAATGCCCCCACACCATTTCCAATTTGCTGCTGCTGTTGTTGTTGCTGCTGCTGTTGTTGTTGTTGTTGTTGTTGTTGTTGTTGTTGTTGTTGTTGTTGTTGGGGCTGTTGTTGCGTCAGCACCTCTACGGGGAGTCCTGCCAGAGACAGCAGCTGGGCCTGTGGGGTGGTTGTGTGCGGGTCCGTGTTGGGAAGCGGAGGAGGGGGATGGCGGAAATCTTACAACATAACATACAAAAGGAATCAAAGGATCAGCTGCCGAAACCCGTAGATGTGGGGGATGTTTAGATGTGGAGACGCGGGGACGTGGAGATGCGGAGGTGCGTGCCGCTGAGTACCGCAGTTCGCCGCAACCGCACACGTCAAGCAGTTAGTTGGCCCCTGGGGCACCTGCGCGAACCATGACACAGCAGTAGTAGACCCCCATGCACGCGCCATTTTTTCCTCACCCGCGTCAGAACCCTGTCACCCCGCAAAAACCCTGACGTACCGTTACCCCACCTACCTGCAGGTTGCGTTGCATCGCCTCGGCGTCCGCGCCGCCGCCGCCGCCATTGATGGCCGCCCCATTGACCTGCAGTGCCGTGAGTCCGTTGATTCCGTTTATGAGCGCCAGGCCCGCCGGCAGTGTGAGCTGCGGCCCTCCAGCCGCCGCTGCGGTGGCCAGCAGGCTGCCCACCGTGAGCGTCTGCAGGGGCTGATGAACAGCACCCACGTTCACACCCACTCCGTGCACCAGGTGGGCGGAGGAGACAGCGGAGCCGCCCGACTGCTCGTGTTGCTGCTGCTGTTGCCGCTTCACCCTGAAGGGGAAAGGAGTCAGTTAAAATGAGTATTTAAAAAAAAGTGTGTCTGTTGAGTTTCAGTTCAGTTCAGTGTTAATATTCAGCTTCACTTGAGTGTTAGTTTTGAATTTTAATTGTGTTAGATGAGTATCAACTGATCTTGATAAAGGAAAGCGGCGCGGTGGGAGGAGAGAGGCGCCGGGAGAATGATTGACAAAAGTCGCGGAAGGCCGTACGGACCGGAAAATGGGCCACGGGGAAAGCATGTCGCGAAAACGTGACTAATAACATAACTCATTGCATAAAGCAATCAGCCAGGCAGCAGACCGCAGTACAAAAGGAGCGGGAGGGAAAACGGAGGTAAACAGCTGGAAGATTCCCAAAAGCGAGGTGATGCGGGCCGTGGTGATGCGGGCCACGACAAATGCTTCCTCAAGCAAGACCACACATGCGTGTGCGCCACACTCCGAGAGGGAGGTATGTGTATAAGCATTATGTGGACTATCTTATAGTCCACATAAACAATACTGTATTGTCTCTATATTGTAAATAGGGTCTAGTTTACTAGACCCTATTTACAATATTGGACAATACAGTATGACCGTGGCGGGCATATAACCCCCCAAATAATAAACCTCCGCCGAAGCCGCCGGCTCATCCTTCTCCTAAAGCCGCCGCAAGCCTCCACTGCGAAAAGCCTTACACACCTCTACATGCCTCTCTCCCCCCCATGCCACCGGCCGATCCATCCTCCCCTTCACCTACTTTTGCGACACCTCATACTCTTTCCGCCACCGCGCCACATCCACGCCTCGATCCCGCAGCGTGTTTTCGTGGTGGCGCAGGAAGTGTTTCCGCACACAGTCGGTGTGGTAGGCCGAGTAGGCGGTGCAGGCGTGGTTGCACAGCAGGCAGTTGATCTTCTTGTGGTCAACCACCTGCACCCACATGCACCATACGCAGTCCATGAAATGCAACCGCGCTCCTTTTCAGGATGTACCCGGCCGTACTAAGGTTTGGGGCATAGCCCAAATCCTGACACCCCTGAAAGTTGGGTCGGGTGCCGCTCCGGAGGGAGATACGCGGAGGGGGCGTATTACTGATACGATACGATGCGAGTGGATTGGATTGGATTGGTGTCTGGTTGGAAAAGAGGGCAAAGGGGCATCTCCACGACAATGGCAAATGTTCTCTTCTGTTGCGGATGATATTGAGCACGAAGCTGAATGCTGTTTTAATCACAGTCCAGCTGTTCCCGCCACGCACTGAAGCCTCAGTAAAGGCCTATGTAGTGTGAACCTTCCCCCTTTCAATCCTTTGCACTCCCCGGCCTCTAACCTGCACGCTGATATACATATATATATAGGTTTATATATATAAACCCCCACCACCCACCTCCACCATCTGCATGATTTGCCCCTCGAAAAGCTCCGCAATCTTCCGGTTCATGTCAGCCATCTTCTTCTGATGCTGCGTCTCGTTCTTGAACCTGCAGCAGCAGCAACACCGACAGGTTGCTGTTGCCGCGAGAGGCGGATGGGCGAACAGGCGGATAGCTCAGACGCGCACGCAGGTCCGCACACACACGCAAAGCAAAGCACATCAGCCCCACACCGGCCCCAGCCGCACTTCTGCAACCAAATCATGCACCCCTGCCGAGGACAACACCGCCATGAACACCTCCCTCATACCGCCCATACCCACGCAAGCCCAGCCCCTCTGTTGTCCTCCCGTGCACCTATTGCCTCGCTTCGCTTCGCTCGGCCATTTGGGAGACCGAGAGCCTAAGGCCGCTGCATAAAATCTGTTTTACGACTTCCATCCATTTTCTCAGTTAGTCGGCCCAGAGCCTCCCACCTTCCATCTGCGTGCCGTGTTTTGCTTTCCTTTTTGACCTGGCCTAGACCAGGCACGCCAGGGCCCATGATGCCCTCGCTGCCACTGGGTCGTGCGATGCCCATCAGGGAGCTCATCTGCAAAGAGAGAGGGGCGCAGTCAGGTGGTCTATCTAGGTAGGTGGGTAGAGAGGGAGAGGGAGAGGGAGAGGGAGGGGTGATGGTGGTGGTGGAAATGCGGGGGTTGAAAGTGGACAGCTTGGGCCACAGAACGGTGGTTAGGAAGCAAGACGCGTACTTAAGGACCGGAGTAGTGGGCGGAACGGGGAAACGATACTGCAGGTTAGGATAGGGACCGGGCTTATATCTGCTTTAGTAAAATAATGCTAGGTGCAATAATGCTAGGTGAAAGAATGTTCCATGTATATCTGCTAGGTGTTCTCGTAGAGCAAGTTGTTCTTAGTCGGCCCGGAAGGCTGTGGGGTGGAGAGAGCTGCTGCAGGGCTGTGGGGTGGAGAGAGCTGTCGAGGTAAAACACCAGGGTGGCGGAACAGCAAGCACCCGCACCCACCGTCCCGGCTTCGCCCGGCGTGTCGGCGTCCTCGCATTCATCGCCATCCGCGTCGCCCGCAAAGCCGCCATGCCCGCCGGCTTCCATGTCGTATGCCGGCGGTAGCGGCAAGCCGTACGGGAATCCCGCTGCCGCCAGCGCTGCCGCTGCCGCCTGCTGGTGATGATGGCTTCCAAGGAGAGCCACGGCTGCGCTGTCTGCACCCGTCAGCTGGAGCGGTCCTGAGAGGGCCGCAGGCAGGGCGGGTGATGGAGCGGGAGTGGCGGTAGAAGATTCTCGCCCCGCCGCGGCCGCATCCAAAATGCCTGGGGGAGATGCACATGACACGGGAAGAGTTATGGTCGGTTGGTTTTAAACATCTAAAGCGCGGAGGGGGTGGCCCCGGGAGTTCCTCGCCCTGGAGAGTTAAGGGTCCCCGGCCAGCCCATTTGGGTGTGACAAACAACAAGCTGACGGAACAGGAGGAGGAGGGGGAGTTATCATCATCGTTGGTTGGTAGAGCGCATGACGGTGTGCACGCGCAGGACTGCACGTCCCTATCCTGAGCGGTTGTGGCCATCTGGGTTTTAGCGTCCCCTTGCGGGAGGCCCCAATGCCCTCCACAGCAGCTGCGTATCTATAATTGCCGCACCCAGCCCCCCACCCACTACCACCCCCTCCCACCCACTACCACCCCCTCCCACCCACTACCACCACCCTCCCACCCACCCACCCGTGATTCTCGCCCTGATGATGTCCCTGGGCGCCATCTCTTCGCTGGTTGTGTTGAGGTACAGGCGGCACTGCTGGTGGGCGCTCAGCTCGTCATCCGCACCCTGGGCGGCCTGGGCTCTACGGGAGGGGCAGCACGCGCGCGAGAACAAAGGGTGGCTTGGTTTGGCTGTATGGGAAAGCCGTAAAGCACACCGGCAACCAGCTCCAAGGGGGGAGGAGACGACAGAACAGGTTCTCCAAACACTTAACACACACTACATAATTCAACCAAGACGCGTACGGAAGTTCAGCATAGCTGTCTTGCCAAAAAAAACAATACGGCAGTAGCAGTAGCAGCAGCACGTTCAGTGCAAGGAAGAAAAGTGAGCTTAAGAGGACGGGCGGCGGGGCATGGGTATAGCACCGGGGTGGTGAGTTGCACGACGACGCATCGAGTCCATGGGAGGTCCCGGTGCGGGACGGACCAGGTGTCATCCTCAGCCCCACGGAACTGGACTTGGTCTCTGTCCGCATCCCTCAGTCCCTCTCTCTGCCCCACCTGGAGCCTCCGCCGCCTAGCCCACACTCCCCGGCGGGCCTACCTGGTTGCCGACCCGCCGGCGCACCTGGGGAACCACCCTTTCATCCGAACCACCCTTTGCCACCACGCCACCATGCCGCCTGGACCCTGTCCCTGGCCCCCGGGGGAGGGGAGGCTGCACCCACACGTGCCGCACCTGAAGTACTCAAATGCCACTGCCAGAGCGGAATCGCTGACAATGGGCACGAGCTCATTCTGGTAGCGGTACTTGAACAGCCAAGTGATGTTGTGCTCGATCTGGAGGTGTAAGGCCCAGACGCAAGGTGAGAGGCTCAGGGGCGGTGCCACGGAGCGGCGGCAGCACTTCCGATATAGGGCCCGATACAGGGGGGCGGTAGGTACACGCGGGACAGTACGGGTAAGGGATACGACGACGGGCAGCCGAGATCGCCCGGGCCCCGCCCGTGGGGGGTTCCAGGCCAGCGGACAGAGCCGCGAAGGCCCGGCAGCGGCCGCAGGTACTACTACTACTACTACCACTACTACTACTACTACTACTACTAGTACTACTACTACCACTACTACTACTACTACCACCACTACTACTAGTACTACTACTACTAGTACTACTACTACTACACTACTACCGCCGGTGACATAAACGGACACCCAGTGTGCGTCCGCCCTTAATGCTGCACCGCTGCTGCTTCTGGTGTCACCGTGATAGCTAGCGACGATCGTGGGCGGTGGTAGCAGGACCGCCCATCCATTCCCATACCGCCCCATGGCGCCTTGTCGAATGACCCTGAAACCCTTCAGAAGGCCCACCGCTCCCTGCACTGGGCTTGTAACGGGAAAAACCCTACGTCGCGGCTCAGGCCGCCTTCGCCCTCATACGCCACCCACGGCTTTGCATATGGCAACTGCGTCCGAGTCTGAAAATGCTTCTTTATAAATGCCCGCCAAGCCCAACATGCTTGCGTTTCGTTGGCATAGCGTCCCACCCTATTTCCCCCACCCCCAGCCTAATTAACACACCTTATCCTCTACCCTGGAGTTCGACAAGGGAGGCAAGCAAGCAGGCAGGCAGGCAGGCAGCCTACCTGCAGGAATGACCTCAACACCGCTGCTAGCTCCGTCAATGTGCGGGGCTGCGACTCGGGAGGAGGCAGAGTCCATAAGCCCAAATTCTCTTCCACCTGTCATAGAGAAACGGTGGTGTGGAGTAGAAACATACAATAACGGAAACAATATGGTGGCGTAGAAACCTTGTATATGTGGTGGGAAAACATTGCTGAAAGAGACATATATGGGAATATGGTGGAAGAAAGCATACACTAATAGGAAGAGCAAGCAGTCGACAACAAGCTGTCGACGCCGAAACAAACTTGGACCTTATTAGCGAGGAGAAATCCTATGTCCAAGTGCTTCCCTTTGCCTTCTTGTCAGCGCGAAAGGGAGACCGAAGGGGAGGGGTTGCCGTTACATTACCCAGGCCTTTTAACTATTAGTGTAATTTGTGTGCTTCCAATTATTGATTCAACTTCGTAATTCACGCCTTTCCGAGAGGCCCCTTAATCGGCACTTCCTTTTACCTGTGTCACCTTTCGCTTGCCGCCTAGATGCTCAGGCTCCCCGTACACCTCGCTGGTGCGAATCAGCAGGACGCGAGCCAGGGGCATACCCCCTGCGGAGAGGCAGATCGGCGGGTCACACACGGGACAACAAATCGGCACCAGGATGACGGCGAGCCGACTGCCGAGGCTCGCGGCAGCTCGAGGCCTTGGCCCCCCCTTCGTCTGCCTTTGTCGCCCGCTCGTCCTCAGCCGCGGAGTCTCCCGGTGACCGCTGCCCCATAGCCCCCGGGTCGGCCGTGCCAGCAATGTCAACTCCATTCACACGGATACCCTTGGCGACATCATATTTGCGGTCTGTTTTGGTAACCGGAGCGTTTTCTCCGCCCCAACACATGAACACATCCGCCCTAGCGACGTTTGCATGTAATAATCCCCAACCCCAACAACCTGGTGATGCGCGGGTTCCTAACCCTGCACCTCTCCGCTCTGAGCCCCCGGGGGCTCAGCCATGTCGCGAAAACAACGGAAAGCCCTCTAGACTAGAGATGCAGCGGAGGGGGCAACCGGGAACACGCAACCGGGAACAAAGCTTTCCGCTAAAGGACAACGGGGGAGCTTGCAGTTTGTCCCACGGTCGCTCACTCGCGGCGAGATGAGGCACCGTGTGGCTGATGACAAGCAACGTAGTAGCGAGGAGCCCGACCCGAACCGACTGGTGCACTCCCAGGCGCATACAAAGGACAGGGAGACAGATAAGAGACATGGATGGACAGACTGGCAGAGCTTGGCAGGCAGGACGGCGCGGTGGCTTTGATAATAGATGCGTAGGGTACGTACCGGGGAGGAGGTCGCCGGTGACCCGCGCTTGCGTGTTGGGCGAAAAAGTGCTGAACGTGAAGCCGTCCGGGTCCGTGGGATAGACAACACCATCCAGCGCGACATTAGCCAAGCGGAAATAGTCGCGAATTGTGGGCATGTGGAGCTTGCCCTACAAATTGACAGGGTTTTGGGGCACGGGTTTGGTGCAGAGTGCAAGGGCAAGGATTTTGGCAGGATTGTGGATGAGCTGAGGGAGCTCAAGGGACTAATGCTGTTTAGCGTTTGGGGGCGATGACGGGAGCTGGGATCGAGAGAGGGCTTGGGAGAGTATATAATAGAGTCGTAGAGATGTGTCCTATGGCAAAGTGTTGCCTAACGTACAGTAAGGGATGTGACACGTAGCAGGGCTTGGGAGGTGCACACGAAGTGAAGCAAGAAGCCCTCCCATAGGGGAGAGGGGGCGTGCCGGACCCCGTGTTTTCGTGTCCATACGGCGGCAGCTGCTTTGCCCGTAGCTAGGCTTGCAGCCGCTGAACCGCGGTGATCCATCGCTGCCATGTCATGTTACACAGATTTGGAGCCAAACATCCGCTTGCAGGCTTGGCCTGGAATAAGTCCACTGTAAGCGAACGGAACTGCCCCCTGCCTCGCAGCCAGAGCCTGAACGCTATTCGTTCAGCTGTATGAGTTTTATAACATACCTCGATAAGCTGAAAATACGCCCGAGGTGGCGGCGCTCCGTCGGGGCCTTGCTCTCCATATTGAATGAGGACTGTTCCCATCGGACCAAGTCAGCCCCTCAAGGGGGCTAATAGGAGATGCGTCAAGGCAAACTGGCCCTACATAGCGCAGAAGGTCGGGACAAAACAGCTGGCCGCTTGTCCAGCACCAGCGGTGGACTAGTATGACGCTTTTGCAGGTCATCGTGCGCATAATGCAGCCTAGCATCTCCAGTGACAAAAAACGAAATAAAAACGACAAAGCATGTATCAAACGCCCACCGAGCTGCGGGTTGGAACGCGGAACCAGACTTGGAACAGTTCCAAGGCGTTCCACACTGCCGTGCGCAAAAGCTTGCGATCCAAAAAGTCGAATGCTCTTGTGTTTAACTGTGAATACCGTAAGATGATCAGAGCGGGACAAGAAGATGTTCCAGGTTCGCTACCCTTCACACCGTGTCAGAGACCGCACAGCTCTAATGGATGTGCCCTAGCATGCCTCCTAAACCAGAAAGTAAAAGTGAACATTTGTAACTTATAGGTTGGAGACGGAAATGTCTGGCAAGGACCGAGGTTCACGACGTTACATCGTTCGTGCATGCGCAGGGTACAGCAAGCGCCCGCTAGTCAGGACTGAAGAGTCATCTACCAGGCATGGCCTGTTCGGCTAGACCTGCAACTGCGCCTTTGCAGACTGTCTGGATTCTGTCCCCGGAACTAGGCCAACGACCAACTTGCGGACGAGCGAATAGAAACTCAATTGCTTTTGGATGATTAGATCCAGCCATTACCATAACTATTACTGACGCACAAAGGTTAAGCGGAGGTTTAAGTCCACACGGACGCGCACCGGCGGCGAAGCCGACGAGCATCGGCCCCCGTAGAGTCGTGCACTTAGGACAACGGAACCCAGCTTGTCCAACATTCACTCCAGTCTCCTCCTTTACAGCTAGATGTCATGCCAAAACAGCTTACCGGCTTGTGAACGTGAACTGCGCCAGGTCTTGGCCGGCCTTGCGGAAACGGACCCAGCTTATGCGGCGGCTCTTAGTGATCTGGCAGTTATGAAGATAAACCAAGTGAGCTGCCGCATTATAACTTGCTGAGCTCGAAAGGTTTGCAAGCAAAGAATGCACACTAGCTGACCTACACATGCGGCACCTGTTGAGCGGTGGCCAGTTCCGGGGGAAACTGCTCGCCATGGCTTCATTTGTATGCGTATTGACCACACGGTCACGAAACAATTTCTAATCCGGCCTTTGTCGCTTTCCTTTAGGGCGAGGTATCGGAGGCGCAACGCATGTTTGACCGGGTAATCGCTCTGCGGTCTGATCAGCTTGACGCACCAGCGCCATCAACCAATCACCAGTCACACATCCAACCTGCGCAGCGGGATATCGACTGTGATACCGCCTCCTCTCCGCCTCCTCGCAAGTCACGCATCCAGCTACGCTCCGAAACCTGTGTTTTGCCGCCTACCAGCTCGACCTCTCCCTCCCCACTTCCCACCTCCGAACCCGCCGCAATTCCCGCCGTGAACCCGTGCAATAGCATCAACGGCAGCAGTAGTAACGATAGCAGCACGAGGGTTGGAAATACCAGTAGCAGCAGCAGCAATAGCAACACTGCAAACGTCGCACATGACAACCCACCAGTCTCCAGGACACGCGGGTCATCCGGCATGGCGGGCGGAGCCGCCCTCTTCGCCCGGGCCCTGGGGGCCCGGCCCACATCAGCCCGACCCAGGAAAGCCCCCGGCTGTGAGCCAGGCTCTGGAAGACAGACGTCCGTTACATCATCAAAAGCAACAGACGCACCACCAGCAGCTCCAACAGCATCAGCGGGAGCACCAGCACCAGCAGTGGCAATGGCAGTGGCAGGTCCCCCAGAGGGCGCCGACAACGGACCCAATCCTGAAGCCCCATGTGGGGGATGTGGAGCGGTGCCAGAAGCTGTTGCGCCTGAGTGCCGCATCCAAGAGGACGAAGGGGGAGTGGGGCACCAGCAACACCAACACCAGCAGCACTTGAAGCAACAGCAGCACCAGCAGCGGCTTCCCTCCTCCGCTGGCAACGAGACACTTGAGACCGGAGGAGACACGTGTTCATCCTCCGCGCCGGGGACCGCAGCAGCGGCGCCCGCGGGACCAACGGCGACGGCAGCTATAGCAGCAGTTGCAACACTAGCGGCTGCAGCAGTAGCAGCAGCAGAGGTGGAGGATGAGGAGTTGGGCCGGCGGGCGCCGCCGCCAGATTCTGACGTCGACAGCCGCTGGAACGTGTCTGGGGATACCCATACTCATGACCGAACACCGCTGCCTGAGGACCACGAGGCCATGAGCGCGGCTGGGCCAAGAACTGGTGGCGCGGGTGGTGGGGAGACAGATGGCTATCTTGACACGGCGGCTGCGGCTGTAGCTGCCATGACGGCTAAGCCATCTTCGGGCTGGGGCTGGGGTTCCGCTGGAGGTGGCGGCGGCGACGGAGCAGCCGCGGCGGCAGGTTGCCGTACAGCTGCTGGCGGCGGCCGCGCCACCGCCGTGAAAGATTACCATTTGGAGCCCCGGGGCGGCGGCGGCGGCGGCGGCGGCGGGGGGGTTTTTGGCAGCGATGACGCCGGTCCGAATGCGAATGAGACGGACGCTGCGTTACGTGGTGAGGAGGGTAGAAAGAGAGGGAATTATATCCTTGGTAACATTTTTAATCATACCCATTGCCTGTACGGCTTCAGCATTTCAGTCGTCCTAGGGCGCTAGGTGCTGTAGGAGTCCATAGCGATGTGTGTACATACATACATACATACATACATACATACATACATACATGTGTACATATGGGAATGTTTCAACACCCCTAGGAACACCCCACACCACATCGACCCGTCGTAGCCACGGCCCTCTGTCAAGGTTGTGCCAAATGACTCGGGGGTTCAGCTCAGTCGTACAACGTACGACATTTTAACCCGCATCGGATCGGGTTTCGGAGCCGCGGTGGGCAGGGAAGTGGCAGGGAGGTGACAGGGGAGCCGGCTTTCCACCACCCAGCTCAAGAGGACCTCCCGGGTTCTTTGGGCGGTAGGGGAGGTGCTTCAACAACTAACAGCAAAACCGTAGGACTGTCGTACAGCTGCCGTACACATCGTACACACCATACACGAGTAACGGCACTCGCAAATGCCGTGATACGAGGGGATTTAGAACGTCACCACGACAAGATGACGACCGACCGCATGCGCTCCATTTTCAACACATCATGCCGCCGCCAACCGCACCTGCTCCATTTTTTCACATATCCCGCCCGTTATGTGCTTGTCGATACTGGGGACAGTGTTTTCCCTTTCCTGCACCTCTATCCTCAGCAATTAGCACGGAAGTTAATATATTTCCTAAAAGCGAATTGAGTTGACTGTTCTTGCAAAGTATACCAGAAGGGGAGGGGTGGATAAGCGATGATATTATTAACAAAAAAATTACCGCGGTAAATGTGGTAATTACGAAATCGCTGCCCGGAAATCGTGGGCCCGCATGCACCCGGCAACAGGGAGGGTGTGACCAGGGTGTCACACCGCAGCCACCGAGATGCTACCCCCCAGGGTCATGGCTGACTGATCTGCAGATGCGTATCTGGCGTGTTTTTTTACGGTTGTATGAGTAGGTTTGTGCTGTGGTACCTAACTGCCTACCTAACTGCCTACCTAGGGGCTACTGGCGCAAAACGCGCGGACCACACACACACACACACACTAACGAACCACCCACCGTTCCATACCCTTCCACAGCGTTGTTAGGGGAGTGTAGGCATGTGATTGAGGTGTACGGCTTGACTACGGAGATCCGTACATCACATTTGCAGGAGTTCGTATCTGAATTCGCGTCCCAGGTACGGCAAGTGTATTATACACACACGGCGGACTGTGTGCCGTATTCGACTTCCCCATCGATATGTTTTCCTTTTTTAAAAGTTCTCCTCCAGCTTTACATACAGACATATACATACAGACATACACTCGTACGTACTGGTACACGTGCCGCATAAAGCCGTCATGCCGGAGCGAAGCACTTGCACTCTTCCACCCTTGCT